ACATACATGTATATATGTTTTAGAACTAATGAGAGCAGTAAGCTATGCTATATCAACTGTCATTGGGGCGATGATTGGAATGCCAGTGATTTTAGATAAGCATTGAAGTTCAAATCTGTCTCGGGTCTTCGTTTGTTTGGATTTCTTTTACAGGTATTGGAAGTGCATGCAACAGGCCGCTCTTTATCTGGATCAAAACCATGAAGGGACTGTGCTATTGGTGAATCTGGGTGCTTTGCTCGTCAAGCCAGAGCTGTACAGCCTCTTCTGCAACAACGTCTGTGAGGTAGGTAGGAGTTGTCTTGCAGTCGAAGACTGCTGCCGATGTCAAAAAATTCCCACAACGTTTGTGCACGGCGTTCCTTGCTTCTTGCAGAGATAAGCGAAGAGAGATTTCAGCATCACAGCACTTTTGAAACCTTTCCTTCTTGCACAGATGAGCGAAGAGAGATTTCAGCATCACAGCACTTATGAAACCTTTCCGTACGTGGGAGTCGTTGTGCAGCGAAGAGCGGTGGCCATTTCATTCCCAGAACGTTTGCATACGACTTCTCCCCCCCCCCCCCCCCCCCCCCCCCCCTCCTTATTGCAGAGAAAAGCAAAGAGAGATTAGAACATCCATCACTTATGAAACCCTCCCTCAATGTTGCGACCTGTCCTTGCTTTTCACTGCCATAAGGGAAGGGTACCTACATGCATACGCCCCCTGCATGCCAGTAAGTGTGTTCTGAGTGTATCTGTAAATGCAAAGCATTTTACATGCATCAATCAGTGACTGAGGGGACGAAGCATACCCAACTCGAACTCCTACAATGGAACTGGCTGTGCAATGGGACATTGGGGAGTGAATTCCAACAGGTACAACCTGCAATGCAGCCTCAACCCGCCAGTTGGAGCAACGAGTTGACCATGTAGTCGCAATGCTCGGCGACATCAGCACCTTCGCCGCACCAACCACCATCAGCAAGCAGCTCGGCACCTTGCAGACCGAACTCGGGCAGCTTCACCAGCCGTGCGACAACAATCGCAGCACCAGTGCATCGAAGCACTACAAGATGCCGGCGTTCCGGATCGAGAAGTTTGACGACTATGCACATCAGGACCCAATCCTCTGGTGGCAAGGCTTTACAACGGAGTTTGGGATTCATGAGGTTCCCGAACATTTGTACATTGTGGTGCTATTCCTCAACGTCAAGGGCGGATGCCAGATCTGGCTCAGCCACATGGCAACCATCCACGACGTCCAGGTCAACAACTTACACAAGAAGATCTCCTGCGAAGATCTAAGGAGAGAATGGAAGAAGCGGTTCATTGTTGACGACGCCCTGACGCTCGCCATCAGCCGCCTCTTCACCATGACTCAAGCCAACACATCTACGCGCGATTGGCTCACGGAATGGCAAAAGATCGTGGCAACACCCAATCGCGACTTGTCATTTCCGCATCTGCGCCAAGAGTTGTACAACCGGTCGTGTCCCGCCTTGAGCCTCTCACTTGGTGATTGCGAGCAGTACACGACCTTCGCCGAAATCATCGACTAGGCACGAGAGATCATCAAGACCAACCGGGCTGCTGCACATGAGAAATCAGCGTGGCAGCGAGCCTATGTGGAGAAGGGAAAATTTGGTCCGCGTCCGCAGCCCGTCGCTGCAGTCCAACCGGACAACATTGTGGAAGACCCGGCAGCCACCCCAACATCACGTGAGGGAGACCAGGTGGCTGCTGTCCAGCCGTGAAGCAACAACAACTCCAGTGGAAAAGGGAGGGCGAAAGCTGCATCGTCGGTCGGAAACGGACAGCGAGTACCATGGGTCAAGTTTAACTTGACCGAGGCTGAACACAAGTGGCGCAGCCGGTATGGCTGCTGCTATTGGTGCAACAACACCAAGCACAATACCTCCCAATGCCAGGATCACGGCAAGGAGGATGTTCGACCTCGAATCAACTCGGGAAACTGAGTTGCGCAGGAGGTGAGGCGACTTCACCTCTCACTCCGCCAGAGTCGGCCGCCTTGCTAGCAGCCTCCTACACATCTGGGGAGAATGCGGATGCCGCGAGTCCTCGGTTCACTTACGAGGATTACATTGTCCACTTGGTCCCAGCGTTGGACCAGCCACTCCACGTGCAACAATCCACCGCATCCACGGTTTCACCACGGCAGCTTTGCCGCCAACTTTCGCCGGGGATTTGACGTCATGGTCAAGACTTGAGAGACTCGACCCGTTGACGTTTGCGGACTTCCAATGGATGCCCCGTCCCTCGACCGGTCGATTGTCGAAACCGCATTGCAACGTGCTCATGGCAGAATTGCGGGATTACTTGCACACTGCAGTACCAGCTCCGTTGATGGATGCCGGAGTAGAGGTTGTTGACCTTCACGACTACGTTGCGAAGATCGACAGCGAGTTCAAGACACTCCGGTACGACGACATCGGCGCGCCATTGTTGTACATACGCATTCAGATCGAAGAGCCGACCTGCAACGTTTTAATCGATTGTGGAGCTACTCGCAAGTATATCAGCCAAGGCTTTACGATACGCGCTAGCCTTGGGCCACACGTTCGGAGGAAGTCCTAGCCCACGCAAGTCACGTTGGTCGACGATCACACGCATAAGTCAATCGACTGGTGCATTGATTTTGTCCCCGTGTACTTTGCTGTGCATGCAAGCGAGGCCGTGTCCTTCGACATTTTGGCTACCCAGTTCGACATGATTTTGGGCGTGTCATGGCTGCAAAGCGAGGATCACCCGGTGAACTTCTACCGCCGCACCGTTCACATTCATGATCGGAACGGAGTACTAGTCCCATGCACGGTGCCTCCACCTCACCCTTCGATCAGCTGTCACGTGGTGTTCGCCGCAAGCATTCGAGCTTCCATCACCAGGGATGACATCGAGGAGATGGGGGTGTGTTTTCTCCACGCCCTCCATCCCCATGACATCCCATCGACGAACGCATCAACGGACCCACGCATCACCGAACTTCTCGACGCCTACGGCGACGTGTTCGAAGCCCCGCATAGAGTAGTATCGGATCGGCCCATCCGCCACGAGATCATCCTCGAGGCCGGGGCCGTACCTCCTCGAGGTTGCGTCTATCGCGTGAGCGAGGAAGAGTAAAGTGTGCTACAGGCATAACTCGAGGACCTTCTTGAGAAAGGCTGGATTCGGCTTAGCTCTTTGCCATACGATGCTCCTGTTCTCTTCGTCCGGAAGAAGAGCAAGGACTTGCATTGTGCATCGATTATCGCAAGCTCAATGTGCAAACCGTCAAGAACGTCGGCCCTCTACCGCGCATCGACGACCTTCTCGAACGGCTGTGTGGCGGTAAGTTCTTCTCCAAGCTTGAACTCAAATCGGGATATCACCAACTAGAGATCCGGTAGAAAGACCGCTACAAAACTGTGTCCAAGATGCGATATGGGCATTTCGAATGGCTGGTCATGCCATTTGGCCTTACGAATGCCCCGACCACGTTCCAAGCGGCTATGACGATGGAGTTCCGACACATGCTGGACAAATGAGTACTCATCTACCTCGACGATATCTTGGTGTATGGACGAGCATGTAAAGCACATGCGCACCGTTTTGGAACGGCTATGAAAAGCCAAGTACAAAGCCACCTGCGACAAATGCGAATTCACGTGGCAAGAGCTCGAGTACTTGGGCCACTATGTGACGCCGCAAGGCATCCGTCCGCTTGCGGACAAGATCGAGGCCATCCGGGTATGGTTTGAGCCCACTAACACCACGGACGTTCGCTCATTCATGGGATTGGCGGGCTACTATCGATGCTTCATCATCGGGTACTCGAGGATTGCAGCGCCATTGACGAGATTACAATCGCCAAAGGTGCCATTCGTATCCAATGACGACGCGCTCCGGTCATTCCAAGCACTCAAGACGGACATGGTCATGACAACTCCAGCTCACATAGACCGTCCTTAGCATCTACGACCCCACCTTGCCAACGAGAGTGACAACTGACGCTTCCGTCTATGGCATTGGGGCAGTCTTGGAACAACACGACGGCGACGACTGACACCCCGTGGAGTATTTCAGCCACAAAGTGCCTCCCATCAATTCACTTGATGATGCAAGGAAGGAGCTGCTTGCATTCGTGATTGCTCTCAAGCGATGGCGACATTTCCTCCTTGGGCGTCGTAAGTTCACATGGGTCACTGATAACAACCCGTTGACCTACTACACGAGGCAAGATACGATGAGCAGCACTATCGTACGATGGATGTACTTCATCGACCAATTTGACTTCACACCGAAACGTTTCGTCGACCTTTCCAATCGCGCAGCAGATGCACTCTCGCAAAGACCCAATCTTTGCGTAATGACACATCATGTCTTCGCATTCGACGAGGAACTTCAGCGGCATTTCATTCGGGGCTACCGGTCCGATCCAGATTTCGCCACGCTATGTGCGCAACCATCTTCGGTTCACCCGCCGACCAGCCATTATCGCATCGTTGACGGGTACTTGCTTCTCCACTTGCGATGCAAGGACTTATTGTGTGTCCCACGAGACCGTAGTCTTCGGACTCGCCTTCTCGGCGAGTAACGCGACTCGCGACTCGTCGGCCATTTCGGAGTCAATCGGACTATCGCATGACTTCGGCAATGATTCCGGTGGCCTGACATTATTACCGATGTCACTTGGTACTGCGACTCTTACGAAGTTTGTCGTCAAAGCAAGCCCCGCAACCGCAGTCCCTACTGCGAGTTGCGGCCGTTGCCCATCCCACAGGAACCTGGCCTCTCCATTGCTATGGACGTCACCGGTCCGTTTCCCCGCGACCACTTTGGGCACGACAGCATCCTCACGGTCATTGACCGATTGAGTAAATACGCGTGATTTCTCCCTTGCAAGTCCTACGCCACTGGCTCCCCAACTTGCGCGGTTTTTGCACACCGGCTGGATTTGCAGCCACGGCGTACCGGAAGACATCGTTAGCGACCGCGACACTCGTTTCATGTCTGTATTTTGGACTTCTCTTATGCAGGAATCTGTCACCAAGATGAAACTAAGTTCGGCTCGACATCCACAAATGGACAGGCAAACGGAGCGGGCACATCAAACCGCTCAAATGATGATTCGTACGCTCATCCGTCCAGATCAGAAGGATTGGGTTGACCGCCTCCCCGACATCGAGTTCGCCTACAACACTTCGTTGCATCCGGCGACCGGCGTGACTCCATTTGAATTGCACCAGGTGGTCGGAAAGGTTGTATCTTCGCTGATCTTCTCCTTCCATGAACAACCGACATAGACGC